CCATAGGGTTAGTTCAAACAAAGTCAGGGAGCATCAATAGGAAACAACCCAAAGTTGCGAGAGTTTTGTCGAATTAACCCTTTCGTGAACACTGAGTTTTTTCTTTTTTTTCTTTTGGGGGGGGGGGTGGGCGATACAAGTTCAGGAATTTCATACGTTGATGGAATTCTAAAGTATCAAATAGTCTCATTAATTTTTAAATTTTTACAAAAAAACATGTAACAAGTGTCTCTTACAATTGAAAGATCTCATTATCTATCCAGTTATGTCCTGTCTTTCTTTTTGGAGTTCATCTCTCCCCTCTTTTCTTCTCTTCGCTTTTTGGATTTTGTGGGAAAGTTTTAGGTTTTGGATGTCATTTGAAATTATTTGGAGTTTAGGGGTTTGATAGGAAAAGTTATATTACTTTAGTGGAAAAAATATAAGTTTAAGGTTTTTGTGCGTGTGTTTTGTGTGGTGGTTCCTTTTGTGTTGGGGCATTTCTGTTATTGGGGACCAATTTGCAAGAATCATAAGTTTGAGAGACTTGTGAACTATTTCAAAGACTCTGAGGGACGAATATGCAATCACTACAGATTTGGGCGATTAAGCTAATACTATCTAATATCTAATTTTATCTAATATCTAATCTAATCTAATCTAATCTAATACTATATGGTACCCTTTGGCAAAGGGTTAAGTGAGAGGTTAATGAGACTTAACCCCTTCTTAACCCGCTGTTGATTGTAGTGGTGTTAGTCCCACATTGGTTGTGAGAACACACCTCACCCTCATCTACTTGTATAAATATATGTGTACACTCAATATTCAACTAAAGAGATGCCAGGGGGACAGGGAACAACATCTCAGGTATGTGTTTGCTGAAAGATCTGAAATTCCTCAACCATAATCTGTCGCCACTCTAGAAATTGAACGGCCTTTTGAAAGGACTTACAGAAGCAACAAGAGAACGTGGACGTATGGACTCTGGAAGGTGAAGATAGAGTTATTATTATTTCCCTTCCAATAAAATTTTTTAACGCTTCTGCTTTCTTTTGCCAAATCTTGGCATTACCGATTTGCAGTCATTTAATGCTTTTTTGCGTTCCTCTGCCAGATTTTAGTCTTGTCGCTTTGCGACCTCTTAACGCATTTCGCGTTCTCGTATTCAAGATCGTTTCTCGGTCTCAATTAACGGCATCGTTGTTTCAAGCCGTCTCTCGGCCTCAAACAAACGGCATTGCCGTTTCTCTTACTTTAACACCCGCCAAATACAAAAAAATCTATACAATGGTTAAAGTGAGTTAACCCTCCATAATTTGTCAAACATAAAAAATATAGAAGGGTTAAGCTAACCCCCCTAGAGGGATTAAAATGAGTTAACCCCTCAAAATGAATGGTCTACTAACACTCCTATTTAGAAGGATTAAGAGTTAACTCTTTTAATTATAAAGAAAATAGTCAAAATCATTGTTATTCCCAAACACTAAAACTGATCACAAGAACTAAAATAAAACTTATTTAACCGGTTAATAATTTAGTCCTTCGGATTATCGAATGGGCTAAGTACATTAATTCTTCTTTTTAACCCCTCTTTCTTAACCCTTTGCCAAACGGAGCCTACACTATTATAAAAGTGTGATGTCATGTTAAAACATTTCTTTCCAAAGTGCCCTCAAATTTATGTTAAAGCACATACATACATAACATGTATACATAAAACATATAGATACATGCATAAATCATACCTCTTCAAATCCTTTTCATAATCAAATTATATTAAATGTAATAAATACTCCTCAGAATTTCATTCACTCCCACTACTCAATTAAACCCCCATTTTCTGCTATTAAGATTGTCATTCCATTATGTATTGCAATTGTTTTATTAAATATTAATTGCAATTGATAAGTCATCAGTTATAATTGCTTTTTTTCCTCCACACCTCACTTCAAAAACCGCAGCACTTCATCTCCCCACTAAGCAAAAACCACTTCCATTCTCCTTCCCTAATAACTATTGTTCTTAGAATTCCCTTCCGTTTCCTCGTCTTTTAGTACAAGATTTCTCGTTATAAAACAAAAAACTCACAACTCCTCCCCAATTTTTTAGTCAGGCCATGTAAATCCCTTTGGCTTTGTCCTGTCGCTCAATCCTGAAGCTATTCTGAATATCTTCAAGTTACTAAAGTCAACACGTAGACGGTTGCTTCCTTTGCTTGCAACTAGCATTTTCCTCTTACTCTATTTTCATAGTAATTGCTCATGTCATTAATCATTAATAGGACGAGGCAAATAATACCATTATTGGTATCATTCTTAACCTCATAGATGCAAACGCAAATTTTAGGAAATAAGGAACGGTAATATTTCATGAACCTTGAACGTATCTCTCGCTCTCTCTCTCGTATAAGAAAGAGAAAATGACAGGACATGTGGACTGTCTTATGTCATATAGGCGCAAATTAGAAGATGCACATTCAAACAAATTTACAGTAACTAAAATATTTATCGTCTTGTTAAGATATGCGAGCTAAGTTCTCCGTTACATTTTTTTAAAGCAAACGCTAATGTAGCTAAAGCAATCATGTGCTTTGACTACGAATTCTTCATAGTGAACATAGTATGGACTATAGTAATTTTTGTTGTCTCAATGTTGGTACGTTTTGGAGAAATGTATTTTTTTTTTTTTGGTGTAAGAGCTATAATTTTTTTTGATAACCTTTGCATGAAAGTTATGTTCGTGGTTGTTCAAATAATTAAGACTCTGTGAATAATAGATGATGTAGAATTAATATTTACAGTATAAAAATTTGGCAAATGGTACTAAAAAAATTTAACTATAAATAAATTAAAAACAAGTTGTTACATAGAAGCAATAGAAGTATTGATCATATGTATTCTTCATGCTTTTATATATCATGAATATTAATTTTATTTATGATTCCACCCGCCTCAGCAGGGATGATAATCCATCCCTCGACTTTACTGCTTCCATGTCCTAACTAAATATAGTAAACGATTATTGACTATAATGTCTCTCCAAACAAAGAAAAATGAAAAATAGATTATGAGTTTAAACATTCCGTCGGTACTTTTAAGAAGTTAAAAAAGACGAATCTTTGGAGATTTCATAAAAGTTTTATAAATATTAATTTTTAGATATGCAATAATGAAGTCATAAAAATTAAGATATAAGCTCATATATATCTACTCATTTAAATTTTAGGTGATATCATATGTAGACACGCAAGAGTTTCTTTACCATACTTTAAATCTTTTTTTCTTATCGAATCATTTTTTTTCTCTATATGAAAAAAGAGAGAGATTTTACAAATATTATTGTATCTAGAGTATAAATGATATTGACAATGCAGAGGGACTAAAAGACAAACTGCAAAGGGAACGTATCATGGAGTTGATAGCTGAAGCATATTACTAGAAATATATTTCTTTCTCATTGAAGCAAATCGTTATATCTCCATAGATGAAGATGACACAGAGAAAAAGACAAAATAGAAAAGAAACATAAAGAGGAGTTGTTAGCTGAAGCATATACTAATAGAAATATATTCTTTTTATTAAATCGTTCCTAATCATGCCACTCTAATTTATGAGCACATGTACACACTCGTCTGTTGATATTTCACTTCAAAAATTTTTGTTCTACTTCAATTAACTTTATATTTGACATCCACAAAGAAAAACATATATAAAGTAAAGATATTCACGTGCAACTCACGTGTACCCGTATCTGAAAAAGCCCCCTACTGAAAATTGAGTAATGACCTGCCAACCAACTTAATATGGGTCCCAAAAAACAAAAAACACCTAATGTGGGCCCCCGAGATTGTTGTGTGAAAACGTGGGTGGTCTCTTGGGTGCTGGGTGAAAATGTGGGTGCTTTGCCAGCTGTCTCTCAACCGCCTTTTTCACCTTTAACGAGTCCCGAGTCCCGAGTCAACCACGGGCTGAAACTTTTTTAAGACCGACCCGCGAAGAGGCTGTATATAAAGAAAACCACGGGCTGAAACCAGTGGTTTTTAGAAAACCACCCTCTGCTTCTTGCCTATATAAATACCTCTTCGTGCCGATGGATTCCCCGTCTTAGACTTTTTTTTTACTTTTATTAGGGTTTTAAGGAGGGGAGTCGGATTGTTAGGAGTTATCGGATTGGGGTTGGATTGGAAAAATCTTTTTAATGCCTAAAATTATTTTCCAATGCCTCCCATTCCGGTGATTTCTAACCGTCTATTCCTCTCCTATCTCGCCTTCACCCTTTACGATTGAAAAGTCTTTTTTTCTTTTTACTCCTTCCCCTTCTTCGTTTGTTTGTTGAAGATGGTTGTGACCTCATTTTTTGGACCAGTGCAAAAGTTGTGATTAACTTTTATCTTTTATGACAATAATAGTATAAATAAAGTTGTAGGTCTCGTTTTCTTTTATTTATATAATAATTGTTTGGGGTTGAATTGTCACTTAATCCCCCGAAGCTTTTTCCAGAGAAGTGCAAACAAATTTTGGGGTATAAGTTCCGTTCCAAATCCTTTTTGAGGTCATCGGAGAATGAGTTAAACATTTTGGGGGGTTTTGTGAAATTTTTACCTTCCGAAAGAATGAGGGCTATTTGGCCACATAGATGACGCCTTCTTAATTCTTTTGAATACAAGGAAGAAT